TCTTGAACGATTCCTTACTGAGGTATCAGAACGCTATCCTTAGGTTTGCCAGGCGCCCGTATGCTGCAGCAGTATCTGACTGATGTGCGCCTCAGGAGATATGCTCGGTGCTATACTCACCCCAAGCTCTTTTTCCTTGAGTGAGGTTTGTAGTCTCTGGCCACCTAGACTATATTGTGTCTGCGGTCTTCTTTGCCCTTCCCCAATCTTCATGACTTGGCATTTGGCAGGGTTAAACTCAAGGAGCCAGTTGCTGGACCAGGCTTGTAGCCTGTCCAGGTCTCTTTGTAGTCCTGCCTGATCCTCATCCGATTTGATTCTTCTCATTAACTTCACATCATCTGCAAACAAGGACACTTCTGAGTCTATCCCTTCCGTTATGTCTTTCACATATACCAAAAACAGAACAGGTCCTAGGACTGACCCCTGTGGAACCCCGCTTGTCACACGCGCCCACTCTGACACCTCGTCACGTATCACGACTTGTTGTTGTCTCCCTGTCAGATATTCTCTGATCCATTGCAGTGCCCTTCCTGTTATGCATGCCTGATCCTCTAGCTTTTGCATTAATCTCTTGTGAGGAACTGTGTCGAAGGCCTTCTTGCGGTCCAAGATAATACAGTCGATCCACCTCTCTCTCTCTTGTCTTACTTCTGTCACCTTGTCATAAAACTCCAGTAGGTTTGTGACACAGGATTTTCCTAGGTACTCCACCACTCTCCTGCTGATGTACTCACCTAGTTGCACTCACCTAGTTGAGGTTGCAGGGGTCGAGTCCAAGCTCCTGGCCCCGCCTCTTCACTGGTCGCTACTAGGTCACTCTCCCTGAACCGTGAGCTTTATCATACCTCTGCTTAAAGCTATGTATGGATCCTGCCTCCACTACATCGCTTCCCAAACTATTCCACTTCCTGACTACTCTGTGACTGAAGAAATACTTCCTAACATCCCTGTGACTCATCTGCGTCTTCAACTTCCAACTGTGTCCCCTTGTTGCTGTGTGTGTGTGTGTGTGTGTGTGTGTGTGTGTGTGTGTGTGTGTGTATGTGTGTGTGTGTGTGTTTGTGTGTGTGTGTGCTTTATGTGTTGCATCACTCTGGTAATCCCATCATCCTTGGATCAAAAGCTCTGGGGAAGGCCAGGCTTGCTTCACATCCTCAAGTATAACTCCACTCACTCACTCTCTCTCTCTCTCTCTCTCTCTCTCTCTCTCTCTCTCTCTCTATGATATTGGTGGAAGACTCTTGACTGGGGAAGTTAGAGCGGCCCTCCTCTACCTCGGATCAAACCTGACTACCTAACAATAACATTAATAATAATAATAGTAATAATAATAATAATAATAATAATAATAATAATAATAATAATAATAATAATAATAATAATAATAATAATAATAATGACAGTAATGAACTACACTGAGTGACCTACACTGAGTGACCTACACTGAGTGACCTACACCGAGTGACCTACACTGAGTGACCTACACTGAGTGACCTACACCGAGTGACCTACACTGAGTGACCTACACTGAGTGACCTACACTGAGTGACGTACACCGAGTGACCTACACTGAGTGACCTACACTGAGTGACCTACACCGAGTGACCTACACTGAGTGACCTACACTGAGTGACCTACACCGAGTGACCTACACTGAGTGACCTACACTGAGTGACCTACACCGAGTGACCTACACTGAGTGACCTACACCGAGTGACCTACACTGAGTGACCTACACTGAGTGCCCTACACTGAGTGACGTACACCGAGTGACCTACACTGAGTGACCTACACCGAGTGACCTACACTGAGTGACCTACACCGAGTGACCTACACTGAGTGACCTACACCGAGTGACCTACACTGAGTGACCTACACCGAGTGACCTACACTGACTGACCTATACCGAGTGACCTACACTGAGTGACCTATACCGAGTGACCTACACTGAGTGACCTACACCGAGTGACCTACACTGACTGACCTATACCGAGTGACCTACACTGAGTGACCTACACCGAGTGACCTACACTGAGTGACCTATACAGAGTGACCTACACTGAGTGACCTACACCGAGTGACCTACACTGAGTGACCTACACCGAGTGACCTACACTGAGTGACCTATACCGAGTGACCTACACTGAGTGACCTACACCGAGTGACCTACACTGAGTGACCTATACCGAGTGACCTACACTGAGTGACCTACACCGAGTGACCTACACTGAGTGACCTATACCGAGTGACCTACACTGAGTGACCTACACCGAGTGACCTACACTGAGTGACCTATACCGAGTGACCTACACTGAGTGACCTACACCGAGTGACCTACACTGAGTGACCTATACCGAGTGACCTACACTGAGTGACCTACACCGAGTAGCCTACACTGAGTGACCTATACAGAGTGACCTACACTGAGTGACCTACACCGAGTGACCTACACTGAGTGACCTACACCGAGTGACCTACACTGAGTGACCTATACCGAGTGACCTACACTGAGTGACCTACACCGAGTGACCTACACTGAGTGACCTATACCGAGTGACCTACACTGAGTGACCTATACCGAGTGACCTACACTGAGTGACCTATACCGAGTGACCTACACTGAGTGACCTACACCGAGTGACCTACACTGAGTGACCTACACCGAGTGACCTACACTGAGTGACCTATACCGAGTGACCTACACTGAGTGACCTACACCGAGTGACCTGCACTGAGTGACCTATACCGAGTGACCTACACTGAGTGACCTACACTGAGTGACCTACACTGAGTGACCTACACCGAGTGACCTACACTGAGTGACCTATACCGAGTGACCTACACTGAGTGACCTACACCGAGTGACCTACACTGAGTGACCTACACCGAGTGACCTACACTGAGTGACCTACACCGAGTGACCTACACTGAGTGACCTACACCGAGTGACCTACACTGAGTGACCTACACTGAGTGACCTACACTGAGTGACCTACACCGAGTGACCTACACTGAGTGACCTACACCGAGTGACCTACACTGAGTGACCTACACCGAGTGACCTACACTGAGTGACCTACACCGAGTGACCTGCACTGAGTGACCTATACCGAGTGACCTACACTGAGTGACCTACACTGAGTGACCTACACCGAGTGACCTATACCGAGTGACCTACACTGAGTGACCTACACCGAGTGACCTACACTGAGTGACCTATACCGAGTGACCTACACTGAGTGACCTACACCGAGTAGCCTACACTGAGTGACCTATACAGAGTGACCTACACTGAGTGACCTACACCGAGCGACCTACACTGAGTGACCTACACCGAGTGACCTACACTGAGTGACCTATACCGAGTGACCTACACTGAGTGACCTACACCGAGTGACCTACACTGAGTGACCTATACCGAGTGACCTACACTGAGTGACCTACACCGAGTGACCTACACTGAGTGACCTATACCGAGTGACCTACACTGAGTGACCTATACCGAGTGACCTACACTGAGTGACCTATACCGAGTGACCTACACTGAGTGACCTACACCGAGTGACCTACACTGAGTGACCTACACCGAGTGACCTACACTGAGTGACCTATAACCGAGTGACCTACACTGAGTGACCTACACCGAGTGACCTGCACTGAGTGACCTATACCGATTGACCTACACTGAGTGACCTACACTGAGTGACCTACACTGAGTGACCTACACCGAGTGACCTACACTGAGTGACCTATACCGAGTGACCTACACTGAGTGACCTACACCGAGTGACCTACACTGAGTGACCTACACCGAGTGACCTACACTGAGTGACCTACACCGAGTGACCTACACTGAGTGACCTACACCGAGTGACCTACACTGAGTGACCTACACTGAGTGACCTACACTGAGTGACCTACACCGAGTGACCTACACTGAGTGACCTACACCGAGTGACCTACACTGAGTGACCTACACCGAGTGACCTACACTGAGTGACCTATACCGAGTGACCTACACTGAGTGACCTACACCGAGTGACCTACACCGAGTGACCTACACCGAGTGACCTACACTGAGTGACCTACACCGAGTGACCTACACCGAGTGACCTACACCGAGTGACCTACACCGAGTGACCTACACTGAGTGACCTACACCGAGTGCCCTACACTGAGTGACGTACACCGAGTGACCTACACTGAGTGACCTACACCGAGTGACCTACACTGAGTGACCTACACCGAGTGACCTACACTGAGTGACCTACACCGAGTGACCTACACTGAGTGACCTACACCGAGTGACCTACACTGAGTGACCTACACCGAGTGACCTACACTGAGTGACCTACACCGAGTGACCTACACTGAGTGACCTACACCGAGTGACCTACACTGAGTGACCTACACCGAGTGACCTACACTGAGGGTAGCCTACACCAAGTGACCTATACTGAGGGTGACCTACACTGAGGGTGGCCTACACTAAGTGACCTATACTGAGGGTGACCTACAATGAGTGACCTACACTGAGGGTGGCCTACACTAAGTGACCTATACTGAAGGTGACCTACACTGAGTGACCTACACTGAGGGTAGCCTACATTAAGTGACCTATACTGATGGTGACCTACACTGAGTGACCTACACTGAGGGTAGCCTACATTAAGTGACCTATACTGATGGTGACCTATACTGAGGGTGACCTACACTGAGTGACCTACACTGAGGGTGGCCTACACTAAGTGACCTATACTGATGGTGACCTACACTGAGTGACCTACACTGAGGGTGGCCTACACAAAGTGACCTACACTGAGGGTAGCCTACATTAAGTGACCTATATTGATGGTGACCTACACTGAGTGACCTACACTGAGGGTGGCCTACACTAAGTGACCTATACTGATGGTGACCTACACTGAGTGACCTACACTGAGGGTGGCCTACACTAAGTGACCTACACTGAGAGTGACCTACACTGAGTGACCTACCATATAGTCCTCACTGTAGTTCCAGGTTGAAGGGACCACAATAGTGACCTCCCTGAAGTATGCTCGTTGTCGTGTGGCCTCGTTCAGTACCTCGGAACCTTCCATGAACATCATCTGCAAAGGTCACAGGTCACAAGGTCAGTCAAAGTTGCATAGGTGTCATACTCACCCTGGTCTAGGACCTTACTGAACCTTTAAACGTGGCCCTACACAGCGTGGATACATTCCCCCAGAGAGCGTGGCCACATGGTCACATGGCCCTAGATAGCGTGACCAAGTGGTCACATGGTCCTAGAGAGTGTGGCCACATGGTCCTAGAGAGTGTGGCCACATGGTTCTGGAGAGTGTGGCCACATGGCCCTAGAGAGTGTGGTCACATGGTCCTAGAGAGTGTGGCCACATGGTCCTAGAGAGCGTGGTCGCATGGCCCCAGACAGTATGGCTACATGATCCCAGAGACCATGGACCTAGAGACCATAGTCACATGGCCCTAGAGAGCTTGGCCACATGGCCCCAGATATCCTGCATAAACTATTGCTCTACAACACGTGGGCGAGTGACGTCACGCGCCACAGCTCTTATTTACGTTCTTCGAAATGAATCCGGATTAACTGCATCATCAGTATTATTATACTCATGGGGAAGGCCTAAACCCGTAGGAATCATGGAGCGCATGTGAAAAGTGGCTAGTTTATTATGCACCTCTTATCCATACTGTGGATGGTAGAGCAAGAGTATATGGGTACACAATAGGCCTAGGAACTAGGCCTGTTGTTACAAGCAAATTGATTATATTTGCTTAATATGTCTTGTATCTTATTATCATTAATAAGATATCTTAATATATATCACAAAGGTTATTATACTATCTGTCTCTATTTTCTGCAATAAGTGGACAATTAAGCACATAGTGTTCAAGACAGTGACCATAGTGTTGGTCACATACTTTGTATTTGGTTTGATCATCATCTGTGTGTCTGTCAAACTGCCAGAAGTGCTTGTAACCAAGTCTAAGCCTGGCTACTACAACATCAGACTACCAGAAGTACTTGTAACCAAGTCTAAGCCTGGCTACTACAACATCAGACTACCAGAAGTACTTGTAACCAAGTCTAAGACTGGCTACTACAACATCAGACCACCAGAAGTACTTGTAACCAAGTCCAAGACTGGTTACTGCAACATCAGACTACCAGAAGTACTTGTAACCAAGTCTAAGACTGGCTACTACAACATCAGACTACCAGAAGTACTTGTAACCAAGTCTAAGCCTGGCTACTACAACATCAGACTACCAGAAGTACTTGTAACCAAGTCTAAGACTGGCTACTACAACATCAGACTACCAGAAGTACTTGTAACCAAGTCTAAGACTGGTTACTGCAACATCAGACTACCAGAAGTACTTGTAACCAAGTCTAAGACTGGTTACTACAACATCAGACCACCAGAAGTACTTGTAACCAAGTCTAAGACTGGCTACTACAACATCAGACCACCAGAAGTACTTGTAACCAAGTCTAAGACTGGCTACTACAACATCAGACTACCAGAAGTACTTGTAACCAAGTCTAAGCCTGGCTACTACAACATCAGACCACCAGAAGTACTTGTAACCAAGTCTAAGACTGGTTACTGCAACATCAGACTACCAGAAGTACTTGTAACCAAGTCTAAGACTGGTTACTACAACATCAGACCACCAGAAGTAATTGTAACCAAGTCTAAGACTGGCTACTACAACATCAGACCACCAGAAGTACTTGTAACCAAGTCTAAGACTGGCTACTACAACATCAGACTACCAGAAGTACTTGTAACCAAGTCTAAGACTGGCTACTACAACATCAGACTACCAGAAGTACTTGTAACCAAGTCTAAGACTGGCTACTACAACATCAGACTACCAGAAGTACTTGTAACCAAGTCTAAGCCTGGCTACTACAACATCAGACTAGCAGAAGTACTGGTAACCAAGTCTAAGACTGGCTACTACAACATCATACTAGCAGAAGTACTGGTAACCAAGTCTAAGACTGGTTACTACAACATCAGACTACCAGAAGTACTTGTAACCAAGTCTAAGCCTGGCTACTACAACATCAGACTACCAGAAGTACTTGTAACCAAGTCTAAGACTGGCTACTACAACATCAGACTACCAGAAGTACTTGTAACCAAGTCTAAGACGGGCTACTACAACATCAGACCACCAGAAGTACTTGTAACCAAGTCTAAGACTGGCTACTACAACATCAGACTACCAGAAGTACTTGTAACCAAGTCTAAGACTGGCTACTACAACATCAGACCACCAGAAGTACTTGTAACCAAGTCTAAGTCTGGCTACTACAACATCAGACCACCAGAAGTACTTGTAACCAAGTCCAAGACTGGCTACTACAACATCAGACTACCAGAAGTACTTGTAACCAAGTCTAAGACTGGCTACTACAACATCAGACTACCAGAAGTACTTGTAACCAAGTCTAAGTCTGGCTACTACAACATCAGACCACCAGAAGTACTTGTAACCAAGTCTAAGACTGGCTACTACAACATCAGACTACCAGAAGTACTTGTAACCAAGTCTAAGACTGGCTACTACAACATCAGACTACCAGAAGTAATTGTAACCAAGTCTAAGCCTGGCTACTACAACATCAGACTAGCTGGTAACCAAGTCTAAGACTGGCTACTACAACATCAGACTACCAGAACTACATTTGCCAACAGTTGGGTATCTTTATCATTGAAACGTTTCGCCTACGCAGTAGACTTCTTCAACCAAGTACCAAGTACAGTGTTAATCTCAATAATCCCATCACCGATACCAGAAACACCAAGCTACTGACTTCCTCGTGTTAATAAGAACCTGGAAATATTCATGACAGCCAGGAACAGTTCTGAGGGCTTCGTTGTGTATTCACTCCAAGGGCAGAAGAGAATTTGACTTAGGTAACATTAACATGGGTGCAGCGTAATTGGATCTAATATAAAGTATGTTCATCACTGTCACTACTCTTACAATAATAACATATTTGGGGGTGTAGAGAACGTCACTTTAACTTGGATATATACACTGAGAGGTGTATGTTTCTCAGTGTATATACACTGGTAGTTTACATTAATCATTAATTTAGGTATTTAACTATTCTTGACTGGTGGTGTACAGGTGACATGACCCTCGTGTAGTAGATAGACTTTAAACCCCATTAACCAATCACTCAGTGCCTACCATACACATTATTTTGGTATAGTATAGTAGATTTATTGAAAGAAGCGTCTACACCAAGACTTCTGTACGATTCTGTATGATTTACTGTATGATTCTGTATGGTTTGGAAGGGGGAGTGAGGGAGAGGGAATAACTTGGGGAATAAGAGACAGACTAAATGGGATGATAAGACATGTGGAGACTCCCAGCTGTGTGGCTGTCTTGCTGCTGTCAGTCTATCACCCACGCCCACCTTCACACGCCCACCACCCACGCCCACCTTCACACGCCCACCTTCGCCGCTCATGCGTTTTTATAGTTTATTTTTTTCGCAACCCACTGCCCATTTATACCCATCAGTTATATCCACTACCCATGTCACCACTGCCACCACTACTACTACTACTACCACTACCACCACCACCATTACCACTACCACCACACCACCACCACTACCACAACAACACCACCACCACCGCCTACTACGCAACTTCCACCACAGAAGCATCAACCACATCTACCACCACAGAAGCATCAACCACAACTACCACCACAGAAGCATCAACCACATCTACCACCACAGAAGCATCAACCACATCTACCACCACAGAAGCATCAACCACAACTTCCACCACAGAAGCATCAACCACATCTACCACCACAGAAGCATCAACCACAACTAACACCACAGAAGCATCAACCACATCTACCACCACAGAAGCATCAACCACATCTACCACCACAGAAGCATCAACCACATCTAACCACCACAGAAGCATCAACCACATCTACCACCACAGAAGCATCAACCACATCTACCACCACAGAAGCATCAACCACATCTACCACCACAGAAGCATCAACCACATCTACCACCACAGAAGCATCAACCACATCTACCACCACAGAAGCATCAACCACATCTACCACCACAGAAGCATCAACCACATCTACCACCACAGAAGCATCAACCACATCTACCACCACAGAAGCATCAACCACATCTACCACCACAGAAGCATCAACCACAACTACCACCACAGAAGCATCAATGACATCTACCACCACAGAAGCATCAACCACAACTACCACCACAGAAGCATCAACCACATCTACCACCACAGAGCATCAACCACAACTTCCACCACAGAAGCATCAACCACATCTACCACCACAGAAGCATCAACCACAACTACCACCACAGAAGCATCAATGACATCTACCACCACAGAAGCATCAACCACAACTACCACCACAGAAGCATCAATGACATCTACCACCACAGAAGCATCAACCACAACTAACCACCACAGAAGCATCAATGACATCTACCACCACAGAAGCACCCAACCACAACTACCACCACAGAAGCATCAACCACAACTACCACCACAGAAGCATCAACCACAACTACCACCACCCACTACTATCTACCAGTGTCTGGAGAGTAATTGCCTATTAAGTACTGTAAGTACCGACCACCAGCTGTTAAGCCCACACACATGCCACCGTACACATGTATACACGTGTGTGTACACCTAAATACACACACACACACACACACACACACACCACACACACACACACACACACACAACTGGAAGCTGAAGTCTCAGACGAGTCACAGGGACGTTAGGAAGTATTTCTTCAGTCATAGAGTTGTCAGCAAGTGGAATAGCCTAGCAAGTGAAGTAGTGGAGGCAGGAACCATACATAGTTTTAAGAAGAGGTATGACAAAGCTCAGGAAGCAGAGAGAGAGAGGATCCAGTAGCGATCAGTGAAGAGGCGGGGCCAGGAGCTGAGTCTCGACCCCTGCAACCACAATTAGGTGAGTACAATTAGGTGAGGTGAGTACACACACACACACACACACACACACACACACACACACACACA